ATCACCTCACTGAGCGCTTCTCCACCCATGGTTAGTTCTCTTCCTGTGTTGTCCCCTCCCAGTTTCGCATTCATGTCACCTCACCCATTAGAATTTTGATATCGCCAACTGAGGCGGTGTCTTGTCCAGTGTTGATTGCAGTTGTCTGTGGAATTCCTCCTTTTTCTCTTGCTCTGCATTATTTGTAGGTGCATATCGCAGCATTGTATGATTGTGACCTTCCTTCCTTCCTTTTGAGTTGAACCTTGCTGTCATGATCCTGATGCTGGAGTAGATTGGTTCCCACTGCATGAGAGCCTTCGATGCCATTGGGAGGGGTACATCATGGTAGCCACTCCATAACTCAGTGTGCTCGTGGTTGTCGTCTGGGTGACAGTATCGGAGTAGATTATTGACTCCACTGCAGTTGACAGTTTGGAGAGTCCACTCCCATTCCATCTGCTTTCGCAAATTCCAGGCACTTCAATTTGATACCTCTTCATCTCCTTTGCAATCTGGGCTGCCTTGCTGGGTTCAAACATCGTGTGGACATTCCATGTCCCTATGGTTACTTTCGCTTTCATCGAGAGAAGAGAAGACACGTCGGCCAATTGGCTTCCCGAATGCTTTCACCAACTGGCGTCATTTCGCCTCTCCGATTCCATCGAGGAATAAGTTTATTTTTTTATATTTTGTTTGTGCTTTGAAGTTTCTTTAGGGATTGGATTGGTTTTCAGTGGTAGGGTTGCGAGCCGTATGCCCAGCCTTCCCTCTTTTTCTGGGCTTAGGACCGGCTAGTGAACTAGTAAACCAGGCGAGGTTGCATTGCTGCTTAGGTCTGAGTTTTTTCTGCAGAAGCTTTTAGGTCTATTAGAGTGCCATCTCTACAGCTAAACATGTTGGTGCATTGTCGTTTCTTGCATATTGGATTTGTGTGGACTGATCTTATTCCTTGACTCTGGAGTTTCCTTTGCATGAAGGTAACCACGAACTAACGAGCAAACATGAATTATATCTTCTGTGGAAGAAACATACCTCTGTTGTGAACAAAATCGATCACTGAGCTCAGTGTTAACTACTGTGACTGCAGCATTAGGTGACTGAACTCGTACCTCTGAGAGGTGGTTCTTTCGACGTTGTAGGTACTCCTTGCTGACCAGCACTTACAAGGAAAAGCCCTTATCCAGAGCTTCATGTTGATTGCCTCTTCCCATCTGACATCAGTTGAAGTGCACAATGAAGGCGATTTTCTAAGTTTTGGTGGCCACATTGCAAAAATGTCGGTAGAATTCAGTTAAAACTTTAGAAGATGCCAAGAAGTGAATACAACATTCCCTTTGTGACCTCCTCTAATGTTTGATTCCTATCATCTTGAGTAGCTCCACCCAGGCGTTTTACACCACCCTACTCGGCCTAGACCAATGATCAAGTATTTGATGGTTTAGTCCCCCGTCTTGGTTTGACCACCCTGATCCTTCCCTCAGTCCAGTTTAACTTCAACTAACATTGCACGTCAAGGTGGGCGGTGGTTGTAGCAAATCCCGGGGCATCCTCTTGCGTTTGACAGTTGCGAAACTCATGTCAGACACTCAGATGTCTGCCCAAGGCTTTCAGAAAACGATGAATTGCGCCAGCGTCTTCACCTAGCAGGATAATGTCGTTTCCATACTCTAGGTCAACCGGATGGCCTCCAGGGAATAGGTCAATCCAAATAGAGGTACCTAATGTTGTGTCTTTGAGTGCGTCCTTAACGAAGTTAGAAACGGTGACCGTGGGTATCCCTAGTCAACACCACTCATCATCATTTATTAACATAGGACCAGGCATTACTACATAACGGTCCCAGTTGCCACACCTCATACCAGTACATCAAGTAAAAAGGCAGTGAGGCGCAAGATGAAGATGAAAAAATTCAGTCAAGAGAAATATAAAGTACGAAAAGAGAGGAAGGAAGAATTAGAAAATGGTGAGATTCGGTATAGTGTCGTTAAGATGAGGATAATGTATGTATACATCTGTGCCACTGACATCGGTTCTGAGCTATGCCGTCACCTAGAGTCTCCAACCACTCACTGGTTCCTCTTGTCCCGCGGACCCCAACCACCCAGTCTACATCACCCTACATAGTCCAAACCAATAGTCAACGACTTCACACATTGATGCCATGTTTTAGTCTGGCCGCCGTGGGCATTTTTCCAGTCTGAACCTACTTAGGACAACATTTTGTGACTAGGCATACGTAACACATGTCCCAGACAGCCATCTCAGTCGATGAAGTTTTACAACCGTGTCTACTGATTTAACTCTTCTCCCTAAAACTCTACGCCTGAGCCTGACGTCTGCGTTATTCATGTGGTGATACCACGGAATACGGCCTATACTACTAAGGCAACGATGGTTAAACACATGAAGCCTTCTCATGTCTTCCACCTTCAATGGCCATTTTTCACATCCATACAGTAGAACAGACCGGACTGCTGTGCTGTATACGCCACCCTTAGTAGACAATCGGATACCACGGCGGCGCCACAGGTGAGGTAAGTTGGCGAAAGCCAATCGAGCCTTTTGTATCCGTGCAGAGATTTCATCGGTCACTGAGCTAGCCACCAGGACTGATCCCACTTCCCAGTTAAGTGAAGTGGCTAGCACACTCAACCACTACACTCTCCATTGTTAACCGTAGCACCGTTGAAGACCAATCGTGGAGCAACAGTTTGCATTTGGATGGTGAGAAACGCATCCCAAACATTCTCAAACTGCCACTCAGTGTCCAGAAGACTACATCTTGTCAATGTGTTCAACTAACAGGACTATGTCATCTGCGTATTCTAGGTCTAACGAAAATTCTCCCGCGATCAGGTCAACGCCTGTGTAATCAGGCGACGAGAGGGAGACCTCCATAAGAATATCTATGATAAAATTGAATAAGAATGGAGAGAGTGGGCACCCTTGAAGGGACACCACTCGATGAGTACAGCTCACCCGACATCTCACCATAGGCTCTAACACACCCGCAAGTGTTCGAGTGGAGAGCCTTCAATAAGGTGATGTACTTACTGGGCACACCTTTCAGTGAGAGATGTTGCCACCAGACGTTTCGGTCAACGGAGTCGGATGCCGCCTTCAGGTCGAGAAATACAGCGTGTTGAGCGCCGGTAAGTGTGCCTGTGATCCAGAACCTGGCGCAGTGTGAACACTTGGTCGATAAACCCGCGGCTAGGTCTAAAGCCTGCTTGGTTTTCTCAGGCTTGCTGTTCCCGAGCTCCACTCAGGCGTCGGAGAATTATAGAACCTAGGATTTTGGATACTATGTTCGTCAGGCTGATTCCTCTGTGGTTATCACAGGAGGACTTCTCACCTTTCTTGAGGACTGAGAGAATCAGTGACTTAGACCTTTGAGAGGGGGATCGTATTTGGTTCTTATATACTAGCTAAAACTTGCGTTAACCTGACTAAGAGCACCTTAGCAGCATCCATGTTTACCTGAGGACTTAGTCCGTCTGGTCCTGCTACTTTTTTTCGTTTGAAGTTACCTGCAGCTTTCTAGACTTCTGCAAGTGTTGGGGGGCTTATCTGAGTGTTCCATTCAGGATTTTTTTGGATAGCGGGCAACGTAATGTTGACTATAGGCCAGTTAAACTGTTCCTCGAAGTGTTCTGCCCATCCTTCCAGTCGTCTTCCTTGCGGGTGAAACGTAGACCCGTCCTCCGCTATAGTCTCACTAACCGTTGTTGACCTTCTCCCCCCGGTTTCCTTAATGTCTAAATAACTGTTTACTGTTACCAATCGCCACTGCCTTTTCCACCATTTTAGCTTTCGTTGCCCCACACTGTCCTCAGTCTTTGTGTAGACTTTTTCTCAATCTGCTTTTAAGTTTTGCTTGCTCTTCATTGTACTCAGAGCCTGCAGGAATCCGTTCACGTGAATCCATTAGTTCGGAAGAAGCTGCTGATATCCACTGGCTCTTTTTAGCCACTATTTTGGAGTCGGCTACAATCTCCAGTGCTGCTTGTACAGCAGACTGAAGATGGCACCAAGCTTCTTCTGGATGAGTGACAGTCTTTTGTTCCGATAACTGCCCAGCCAGCTTCTCACTGAACACGGCTTTGGAGTTTTCGTTGTCCAGCAGAACTCGTAGTGGTTTTGCTGCCAAATGTTTCTTACATGCGTTGAGACGTAGGCATATACGTGCTCTGACCAACGCGTGGTCGCTCTCGAGACACGTACTCCAGAAGGAGCGGCAGTCTTCCACCGATCCTCCCTAGCGATGACTGATATCAATATGGTCTATCTGTGTCCATCGCTGAGTTGAGCTCGGTGGACGCCAGGTCAGACAGTGCCTTTCTTCACGTCTGAAATTTGTGCTGGCTAAAAATATGCGGTTGTCTGAGCATAGTTGTAATAGGCGATCACCGTTATCTGTACGTTCAGCTGGGATTCCGAAAGTGCCACCTAAGTGCCTTTCTGCCTCACTCAGTCTACGCACCTGTGTGTTGAGGTCACCTGCAACAACCACCACGTCTGAACGTCTGGCCTTCGAGAGGAGGCTGTACAGTTTATGGTAGAACTCGTCCTTCACTGCATCTGAACTGCAGTCAGTAGGTGAGTAAGCAGAAATTACAAAGAGACAGCGGCGAGTAATAAGTCCCCACAAACTTCCAGATTGATTATCGGTTAGATTAACTAGTATTAGCTTGTGTATGAGAATGAAATATAATCCGCGTTAACTGTTGCAGATGTTATATCATATTTTCTTATTTGCTTAACCTCCTCTTCCTCTTTTCTTATGACTTTCTACGATTTTTGACTAGACTTTTCCTATTTCCCTTTCTTTAATCTGATCACCTTAAGTCTTGATGTGCTGATGTGCGACTTCAACTGTTATGCAGTAATGTGAAGTCCTATGTGAATATTGAGTGACTAACTGATATTATCTCGAGGAAAATTACTGCAAATAATTTAATTATTTACTATGTATCTTTTTATGGGCTGCTAATAGCACCTATCTATCTTCATTTTAGGTGTCTTTTCAAATGAATTCTGTTAATACATTACTATTTTTGTGGTAAACTGCATTTAAGACCATGGATGGCAACCCTGTTACTCTTTCCATCCTTTCAGATAAAGTAATTTCACTAGTTTATTTAATAATCTTTTTAATAGTTTAACCTTGTTTCTTCTATGTATCGGTTTTTAAAACTGCAATTGTTTTATAAAATACTATTTTAAAGTTTTGGTGTAACGCATTATATATATATATATATATATATATATATATATATATATATATATATAAGCTGGCAATTATGAACGAAGGATATTCCTTTCATTCAATAATAACAAGTTATCTAAAGCATACAATTAGGTACCGAAGACTCAAGATACTGAAGTATTCACCGGCCTAATTTGCGAACGATGAGGTGAAATATGTTTACTGGCGCATATAGTAGATACATGACATCACACAGTTCCTAGTACAACTTTGATTGTGATACACCATCCGCTACTCGTTTACGCATTTTTTATATTGCTGAATCTGTGGTTATAAGATCAACTAAGCGTGGACTTTGTATTCAAAACTAATACATTCAAGTCACACAGGATCCCATATCCTAATAGAGACCGATCAATTCGGTACAATTAACGACGGTATCATACAAGCGATAATACTAAAATCATATATGTGTTTATTCAGACGTCGATGGCTGATTTTTTTTATATATACACATCGGCTGTCACTACCAACGTGGTTGATCTAGTTTGCGGGTAATTAGTTAAAGTTTCAGAAAATCAGTAGCTTAAATACTGATTTCATCAATCCTACCACTATATTTAATAAAAGTAGAATATTATGCTTTGAGTGGAGGATATAAATTGATCATTATGAATGTAGATATGAATCATGTAGAAAAATTCACTTGCTCTCTCGATTAAAAAAGGTTTACAAATCGCTTATTGGTTTATATACACTAGTTATTCAGTCGGAGGTGAGCAGTCAATATTCATATGTGTTTCATAGTTTAAGAGATCATAAAAATTTCCAGGATTATAGATATATTATACTGTTGAATATCAACATACGTGTAAATTAAGTCAGTAAAGTACATTATAATATAGGAGTACAACTTGGGCACTGTGATAGATTGTAATTCCATTTTAGTCAGTTTATTAGATGTCACACAATAAAAAATGTATCATTTACTGGATAACGATGTTTCGGACACAATTTATTGTCTATATAAGGTAACTTGAGACAGAGTTTATAAATTCTTAATATTCTCTCCTTCTTCCATATATCTGGGACAATTACAGAATCATTTCTGTATCTGCATGTATTTAGTGTTGATTCGATAAACAAAGATTCGGTTATCAATCTCTCCCTCCACCCAACTAAGTTTTCAACACTGTCGCCTCATCCCACCCTACTGTGTGATTGTGTGTCATCGCATGCAGAGCCATAGCCAAGCTTTTCTCTAGATCTCTTATCTTATTGGGATCTACTAATCTTGATTTAGCTAAGTTTTTGTGCTCTATTATTCTGATCGACCCTGGTCGACTGCTTTGACCTATGTTCCTGACCTCACAATCATTGCAAGGGATCTGGCAAACCAGATTATTTTGTTTGATTCCACCGATAGGATCTTTTAACCTACAAAGCTTGTTTCCCTCAGCTAGTTTGTTAGTTTCAATGCCACTTTAATCCCAGCCACCCTTATTGAGAATACTTTGTAATGCTTCTGAGGTGCCTTCCTTGTATGATAACAACACAGCAGAGGCTTTGAATTCCCTCTCAACCCTGTCACTATTATTACCATTAGTAGAATTAGTACTAATAACACCCGCATTACTACTACTACTACTACTGCCACTGTTAATAATTTTCTTTCTATTTCTTACGAATTTATTTGTAAATCTAAGTGGGTGAGACACATGGTATTCTTGATGTGTCTAATTTCTTGTCACAGATTTTCCAATCTACTAGTAAACTTGGTCGCTGTATCACTTAAGCATTTAACTAGGCCTACTTTAACTGAAATGGGGTGGAAGGATTTGAAGTCTAAGTAGCAATTCGAATGGGTAGGTTTCCTATAGACACTAGTTTCTAAACTCCCGTCTTGTGTTTGTTTAATCTTGCTAGCTCACCTTCATCACTTTCAAAGTTATAGGTCAATTGAATTGGATTCACTACTGAATTTATATTTGCCAAGAACCTATTGATGTATTCCGATTTCAGTACTGTAAACTTATCATCTACATATCGGAACCATATCTTTGAAGTGATACTAAATATTTGTAGGGTCATCTGTTCCCAACTATCCATAAATATGTCTACAACTATGGGAGAGATATTGGTGATCTTTAATATCCCCTAAGTTAGTAAAAGCATTTTATTCGACAACGACTTCGTGTATTCTATAGAAACCAAATACTAGTACATACTTCCCATTACTTTATATTACTTGTATTCAGCACTTGTTCAATTAGAGTAGGCATCAAAAGCCATGAAATGAATTGTCTAATACCCTTTCTTTTTCATTACTATTATTCAACTGAAATCATAATTTTATATTTTTGTATACTTCTCAGTATATTTTCTTCAATCCGAATGAAGATCAATTCTTACACATAAAAAATTGTCTAGAAAGAGAATTAGACAATGGTCAAGGTGAATGTTTCTTGGAATTGGGTGTTGGAGGTAAGTTTGCTGTTATTTTTTTAAACATTACTCATAACAAATAGCTGAAATAATATACTTTATAACCTCATGAATTGCCTTATGTATTTATCATTTATATTTATCTATTTATTTATTTATTTATATTTAATTTTCTTCATGTTACACTTTGATAGAATCACCGTGTAAGCAATATTAAAATCAGGTGTAAGATACGAGGGAAGATAGGCTGACAAGTCGATTGATGAAATCATGAATCTTAACTGACTCGAATGGCTCGGACATGTATTGCTCATGCCGAGCTACTTCCTACCTCGACGTATAATGCTAGAGTAAGTTGGAAGAGGGTTCAGGGTGGCCAGATCAAGACTTAGAAGCAGTCGATGAAGTTTCTTACTGTTAATCTGAGCCTTTTGGAGAAATGCAGACTGTCTGGTTGAGAACTCTTGTTGACATGGATGAAAATCGGTGACAATGGCGCAGATGTATTCACTCTTTAATATTTGCACTAACCACTATCTTCAGATTGCTCATTCTCTTATACAATTTTGTCTACTTTGATATCACTCCTTTTCTATCCACGTATTCTTTGTGCACTACTGTGAAATGTATCAAATTGAGCTAGTGCTCCTGCATGCGAGGTTCTACGTTGATTTTGTCAGTCAGTCATACATTATCTACGCAGGTTATTGATAAACCCTTTTTATTCTGATAACCAATTTCTTCAACTGCTAACTAAACCTGAAGTAGTGATGCTGAACTCAAGCGCAATACTATGTCAGTTGATGAATTTATCATATCTGTTGATCGAAGTTGTCTCTTTCATCTACCTACCTACCTACCTACCTACCTACCTACCTACCTACCTACCTACCTACCTACCTACCTACCTACCTACCTACCTACCTACCTACCTACCTACCTACCTACCTACCTACCTACCTACCTACCTACCTACCTACCTACCTACCTACCTACCTACCTACCTACCTACCTACCTACCTACCTAAGCAACGTCGTTTCAACTACAGGCAGCGGCGGCGGCACACATGAGAATGTCAAAGACAGCATCGGAAACATAGCAACACAGACCCTCATTATTCTGAAATAATCAGTGTGGAGATCTACTGCACTCCACTGCACTCAGCGTAAAGCATGAACGAGATCCAGATTTTCAACACTAATGTCAGTCAAGTGAGTCAGTTCTTCTATGTGATGGTTCACAGAGTTGGCGGTGCGTTACGAAAGCATTTGCAACAAACTGCAGACATGCGTTATCAACAGCTGCCACCGACGCTCACTCGATAGTGAAGATGAGATCAGAGATGGCCAGTATAATAAGAATGGTAGCAAGGAGGAACTCTCTCTGGCTGGCCGGCAGAGTGGCAACGAAGCAACCAACAACCTGTCGCCTAACAGATGAGCAGGAGAAAGTGGAGATGGATTGGATTGGATTGGACATATACTGAGAAGACCATTTGTGGACGTCACTCACCATGCCAGGCTAGGTCAGGCCGTTGAGTGGAAACCAAATGGGAAACGATGAGTTGGGTGTATCAGGGTGACATGGAAGAGATGGTGTAAGGAAGGAATGAAAGCTTGTGGGTAGTTGTGGAGCCAGATTAACGAGACTGTAGAGAAGTGAGTGAAATGGTGACGTGCTACTGAAGCCCTATGCTCCACTAGGAACCCAAAGGATAAATAATAAAAAAATAATTAGTTAACTGTACTAATCTAGCCGTAAATTAAAAGTTGAACAAGTACATTCACTTATTTAACGTAACATTTTAACCATTTCGATTTAAAGATGTTTATTTTCCATCTTAGCAATTGTTTTCATTCTCTGATCGGTTCCATGTTATTTTATTATTATTATTTTTATCGAATTGTACCAACTGAAAACTTTACATTGTAAAAAGAACTTACATATAGACTAAAATTGATTCAGTTTAATACATCTCAAAAAAGCAGATTATGATGGTGACTGGGATAGTTATTAACAAAAATTTTATTGGCAGTACTATAGTTGAAGAATTGGTAAAACTACTTGCTAGTGATAAATGACAATAACGAATTTACAGTTTGTAAAAAATTTTCTCTCATCCTATCGTATAGCGTCTTATCCTGGTCGATTGATCAGATTCATTTTTATTTAAATAATAAATCTTTCCGAACGAATTTTAATCGAATAGGCAATTAATGAACACAGTGCCATAAGTGAAAATCTGTCATTCACTATTTTATTATTATTATTATTTGTCTCTTGAGTTCCTAGTGGAACATAGGGTTTCACTAGCACGTCTCCATTCCACTCTCTTCTCCGCAAACTTCTGGATCTGGCTCCACTACTTCCCACAAGCTCTCATTTCTTCCTCACACCATCTCCTCCATGTCACCCTCAGCTGGGACGCACAACTCGTCGTTTCCCATCTGGGTTCCACTCGACGGTCTGGCCTGGAGTGTGATGTACCCAGTTGGCCTTCTCAGTGTATGCCCAATCCATCTCCACTTCCTTCTAGTGCATGTTTGTTGAGTGATAGCTTCTCCGTTGATTCGTTGCCAGCCAGCCAGCCAGAGTTCTTTGTTGCTTACTCTTATTATTCTGGCCATCTGAGCTTCAGTAACGAGCCAGCGTAGGCAGTTCCTGATGAATGTCTGTAGTTTGTTGGAAATGCTTTTTGTAACGCGTCAAGTTTCTCAACCATCACATAGAAGCACTGACTTGACATTAGTGTTAAAAATCTGGAACTTATTCATGCTTTGTACTGAGTGCATAAGATTTCCACACTGGTTTCAGGTTAATGAACGCCTGTCGTGCTTTTCCGATCCTGACTTTGATGTCTTCATCTGTGCCTGTGCCGCCTGTAGTTGAAACGATGCTGCCTAGGAGGGTGGGTGAAAGAGGCTACTTCCTGTAATTTTCTCCCGTAAATGGTGAATGGAGCCTGTTGTTGTTGTCGGTGGCGTTGGTTGGGTATCTTCATCACCTCTGTCTTCTCTACGTTCACCTGAAGTCTCGTCTTCGCTGCCTCACCTTTTCTGTCAACTTGTTGGATTTTGCCTGTTGATCTTCAAGTTTGTGTGACACTAGACACAAGTCATCGACGAAATCCAAATCTTCTAAGATCTGTTACCTGGTCCAGCGTATCCTCCTCTTCTCTCTCGTCACAGTTTATTGCATGATCCAGTCGACCACAACACAATCAGGAATATCATGGGTGATAATAGACAGCCTTGTTTTACTCCTGTCTTCACTTCAAAGGCGTCGCTGAGCTTCCCATTGTGAATTACTTAGCATGTGGCATCTTCATATAGTTGTTGAATGAGATTGATAAAGGTTTGCGGTATTCCGTAGTGTTGAAGCAACTGCCAAATTACTTCTCGGTCGACGCTGTCAAAGGCCTTTTCAAAGTCGATGAAATTGAGGTAGAGAGTTGATTGCCATTCTATACTCTGTTCATTGGTAATCAATAATGAGATTTTAGACATTTTGAGGTCTACTTAACATATCATTTGGTATGCGTTCAGTGCTCTATCCAAGATCAAGGGATATCTTACTTAATCTTGGATCCTTCCTTGATCTTCGATAAATTAAAAGTTATTGGCATTATCCTTTTTTGTTGCAGCTTCTTTCCTCTCTGTTTTCTTTTTATCACTACTTTGTTACTATGTATATAAGTCACCTTAACAGCAAACTCGGTCTGCTTGGATACCCTAATTCATTTCACGCTATTTTGGAAATGTATTCGCCATAAAATTGATTTATTTTTATCCTGAACAATCTCTTGACAATTTATTGTACATTCATACAGTAAGCAATATGACGGGTCTATTGTGTGAGAGCTAGTTATACTACCTGGCCACTCCGAACCTTGTTAGATGAAGCGGAGTTCAAACCTGTGACCCATATGTTCATAGTCATCCCTCTAAATCACTAAGCCACAGCTCAAAGTCTTGCATATTTCCACTAACCTTTTTTTTTATTCTATTCCCTATAATAAAGTTTCGCATGTTTGAATGCCATATTTTTCTTGCCACTTCTTAGTGTGTTTCTGTGGCGTATAATAATTTGAACTTAGCCTTGTCTGTGCGAGGTTCTACATTGGTTTGTATGTCAGGTAAAATTTCTATAGGTTCAACTAACGACGTGGTGGTATAGACCTATCTAGACTTAGGTTTGATGTGAGATTGACTGTTGAAGATCAAGTGTGTAACGCTTTGATGAGCACATTTCTTCTCTACACCGATGGAATTGAGTCCTTTCGAGTCTGAAATATCCAACAACTCTGCGTTTTTGCTCAATGCTATCTCCGAGGCATTGTTGGTATACCTGATATTAGGTGGTATATGTGTTGAGGCATGATTGAGATTATTCATTTAGTGAAGCCATTTTGAAACACCTGCCTTAATGGTCTGAACATGTTATAAATATCTTCCCAGGGGTGCTTCCATATCGTCAAGTGTTCAGTGTAAGACACAGTCTCGTGGCTTGAAGGATAACTATTTTTAGTCAGAATAAACCAATGCATAGAGACTCCCTGAATACGGTGCAATAAATCATACTACTCAGTAACTCGAGACTATATTAGACATGACTCAGAAATGAGGAATATGTTGTCATTTCGTTTTGTCTTCTGTTCTTGAAAAGAGATGAAAAAGTAGTGAGAACTTTTTGTTTGTTTGTTATAAGACTGATTTTCATCAACAACTGCCTACGCTGGCTCGTTACTGAAGCTCAGATGGCCAGAATAATAAGAGTAAGCAACAAAGAACTCTGGCTGGCTGGCTGGCAACGAATCAACGGAGAAGCTATCACTCAACAAACATGCACTAGAAGGAAGTGGAGATGGATTGGGCATACTCTGAGAAGGCCAACTGGGTACATCACGCTCCAGGCCAGACCGTCGAGTGGAACCCAGATGGGAAACGACGAGTTGTGCGTCCCAGCTGAGGGTGACATGGAGGAGATGGTGTGAGGAAGAAATGAGAGCTTGTGGGAAGTAGTGGAGCCAGATCCAGAA